GAGATTTGCTTTCTTCCATCCAAGCTTAATCCTCTACTAAATTTGTTAATTACTTTTCTTAATCTGTGTTCTCTAAATATCATTCGTTGGTAGCATTTCTGGTATGTGTTCAGCTTGGTTGCTACCCCCAAGCAAGAAATGTTTTATCCTGTGTTATATTGTCTTTTCTATTCCTATACTAACTATTTGGCCCAAAAAAAAGTTTCTACACAGAGTTCATTCAATATAAAATAATTTTAATTTAGTGTTATTTGGGGATATTAGATTGTCTAAAGCAAGTTGAGAATACCCCCCCCCCTGAATTAGCTGGGCAAATTATCCCCTGGGATATTACCCAATAAAGGAAGAAGAAAAAGAAGAAGAACCAGAGATAAATTTCGGTTTACTACTAATTAACAGCTGGGTGATACTTGATTGATTTGATTGATACGCAAATTATATATGTTAGGATATATATTCTGAATTTATTTTTTTTTCCTTATTTTGACAAGCAAACAATTTTGTATAAATCTATTTAAAAGAATTTGATAAATTTACTAAATATTTATATAACTTTATGAGAGGTTTTGTATAGAGTACTATGTAAATATATTGGACTCTATCTTCCTGCTTTTAATACTTAATATTAATACAAGCCCATATTTTTATCTTTGTTTATGGGACATTCAAAGAAGATGTAGATCACTGTTCCAATGGTTCCACATTCACATATCGGTGTTTCTGTTTTGCCTATTTTGTAGAGATAGCAAGGAGTTTTACAATGTCCAATACGTAACGACCATTTGGCGTACCATGGTTTTATGGGGATAGCACACGGCAATCTACAATAATCTGGATCCTTATCTTTAATTTAGGAACGCCACGCATTGTAGAATTGTGCTAAAATATCTTTTTTTGTAATACAAAAGATATCTGTACTAATATTTTTTATATCATATGGTACTATTAATCCTGTCCCAATATTCGCAAAACCTATCTGTTTCCTCATTGCCGTTAATCCCCTGATGTCCAGGTACCCATCATATTGAGAATCTCATAATATTAGCTTCTACCAATAGTTTTTTGGTTATTATGGTTACATAATCCTTTTACAGCTTTTATAATATTCTTCTCAATGCACACAGAGATAGCTTTATATATAGCTATCATTTCAGTTCTACATATTTGTTTAACATCTCCCACTGTTGGTCAGTTGGTCTTGTGTAATGATTCTTTTAAAATTTGATGGTTTTCCTATTGACTGTGGGTTTAAATGAACTAGTGGTATTATATCTATTTGCACACTTTGTAACTTTGATATTTAATTCTAACTATTTCCATTTCGTAGCTCAATTTCTTCTTTTCTAAAGTATTGGTAGTGCTTGGTAGAGCTTTTATTGTAGTCAACCAACCACTATCTAATATATTGTTAAGTCTAGTTCTCACATTCACACTCTATGTCCACTTTAGTTGCGCCCAACCTAACACCCAAAATATTACTGACATGTTTGAGAATAAGATCTAAATTATGCAATCCACATAAAATAATTTATATAATTTTATATTTCATCGGTTTACTTTCTATATTATTGGTAAATTGGACTTTTGGTCAATGTGCAGTTAATCATAGAATTTTGAAATGTGCAGATCACATCACCATGATTGTGACTACTCATCCAAGTTGTAATATGTCAGAATCCACTTTACCATTTCCGTTAAGACCCGGAGCCATTCTCTCTCCTGCTGTCACCCACAATGAAGCTTCCTAAATTTTGAAATTTTTTTAAAACTGTTTGTCCTTTGTCTGGTGTTGAACAAATGTAATATTTAATGTTTATAACATTCATAGAAGTGCTGGATAGCCTACAATTTTGACGAATTAAATCTAAAACGTTATAATTTTTTTTTATCTACCATCAACTTTTGAGTTTTTTCGTAGTTAAATAATCTTTCGTTGAATTATTCGAGCATTTAACCATATATCACTTGATTAAATAGTTAATTCATTTGTTTTACTCGTAGAAACTAAGAAAACAGAAAACTTAGTAAAACTGTTATATCGTACGTTTATTGTTTTAAAAAATGTTGGTAATGGATCTCACTTAAAACTTATCAAAATATTTACGCCAGGATAAACTACTAACGACATCTTAATTGCTTTAAGTATATTTTTAACTATCAAAATAAAAAAGTATGTAGTTAAGCATAATAATACTAACATTTGGGGAGTCGCTATAAATTGCATAAAAATGTTTAAATTGCTCGTACATGATTTTAATAGATGAACATAGAAAATAATAAGTTACATTATTTAGTTTCATTTTTAAGTTTAAAAAGATATTTACTGTATTTATAATACTAAATTAATTTTATATCATCTCTTTATAAATGTTTTCAAGACTAAATATCAGCAGTGGGTTGACCCTGTAAACGCCGAATCATTAAAAACTTTAAAAAAATCACAAATATCCATAAAAAAGATGTTATTTTGGTATCTTGTATCATATTACAATAAAAAATAAAAGGCTATGATTTCAGAAAAAAAAAGATGTTCTCAAAATGAGAACGTTCTCGTCTATACAGGTCACAACTACCCTGAGAGCAAAACAATCGACTAAAAAGCGATATTTGAGATTACACCTTGATATAATGTGCAAACAATTATAACAACAATAAACAACTTTATTGTTAAACTTACAAAAACTGCTATTGCGTTATTCGGAAGACGCATTATAAAAAAATATGCAATGCGACCAGAGTTCCCTAAATATTCATCATTGAAACTAACGCAAAAAAGACATGAACAGAGATATTACCACCCCTACTTCTAATTACACTTTCCAGTCGATTTCGCATGGATCGGATGAAGTTTTTAATACATTTTTGAGGTATTGCTTCGAATTCATCATTAAGCGCAGCTTTCAATTCCATTATGTTGCTTGGTGCATGATTTGTGTCTCGGACCCTTTGTTTTAGCTCATCCCAAATATGCTTTATTGGATTTATGTCCGGGCTTAATGCAAACCAATTTATTGTAGGTATACGGATCTCAGTCAGATAGGTGGTGGTGACTCGTGCGATATGGTATAGTACATTACCGTGCATTAAAGTAAAGACATTACCAACAAATCCCGCGCATGGAACTACATGTTTCTCCAAATTATCTCTGATGTAACGATCCGCCAATAAACCTTCTCCACCAGGCACGAAAACTAACTGTTCGGACCTCTGCTCTAGCTTTGGTTTTTTCAGTGGCAGAATATTGTGCACCAGTACGGCTAAATAGTGCACATACAAGCAAAATCGATGTACAACTTAACCAAACCATGAGAATAATCACTGGAACAATAAAATCAACGCCAGTGAGATGGCTGCCTACTCTGAGCAATATTGCTCCACCAGATCTACGCCGTACAGCAGCATTAGTGAGAGAGTACCAGAAAATTGTAGCCAACGTACAATTACCAATACATTAAGATATCCCAGACATCTCAAAAGAGCACCAAAGATTGAGATCTAGAAATCCTCCAATACGATCTGCCCGAAAAATTGGTAATTTCTATGATATACATAGGCAATGGACAACAAGATGGATGCCAACAGTAGAATCAGACTGTATTAAGATATCCACCCCAACTCAGGGTTTCATCGGATCAAATCTGCCCCGGTCCATTTGGGCAAGGCTTAATCGTATACGTACCGGACATGGTAAATGTGCTGATTCGCTGTTCAGGTGGGGTCGTGCAGAAAGTCCACAGTGCGATTGCGGAGAATTTAGACAGACCATAAGCCATTATGTTTCAGACTGCTTGAATCGTGCCTACCGTGGAAACCTCCAGGACTTTGCGGAATGTTCCCCAGAAGCAATTGAATGGCTATGTAAATTGGACATTAATATTTAGTGTCATTCATTCTATTCATTCTATTTTTACTATTTTTAGTGTTTGAATAATATATATAATATATATGTGTATATTATTGTAATTGTATTTGTATATTTATCGTACTGTGAAAGTCCATACGCTAAATAAATAAAATAGTCAGTGTAATTCAAAAAAAGAAATCCTATCAAGAATCGAACAAGCAAGGAAAACATGCACGAGCATAAAACTATTTTTTACAAGATCAGACCTTAATCTGCAGCTTAGAATCCAAATAATCAGATGTTACGTTTTTTCTGTCTTACTGTATGGCTGTGAAAATTGGACAATGGAAGCTGACATAGAGAAAAGAAGAAAAAGAAAAGAACAAAAAGAATTACTAAGAATAATCAAAGAGCGGAATATACCGCTTATATATAAGAGCAATTAAACGCGTGTACAATCATTCTATTTTATTTATTAATCTTCATCTGTCTTAAGATATGTTCTCTATTAAATTTATGTTTTAAATAGTGTTATTATTCATAAATTATTGTTTAAATGTTTAAATATTCTTTCTAAATTCATGTACACGATAAGAAAGCTTGAATAGTAGAAATTTACAAACGAATACATTTTGTACATTTATTTATAGCTCCGGTGTTTGAACTCATTATTTAAAAAGTAACGATTAGGTACCTTTTCTACTTTTCAACAAAACCATACCAACCTGTCCACACCAAATCATTCCTATTAGATAACAATTCTATTAAGAGTGTACTTTTATTTGTTGCAGCTAATTTTATCCAGCATCATCATTTCAAAATCGACTCCGTAGTGAAAAGGAACACCTGCAGTTAAATAGTGTTGTGATGTAAGTGTGACATATATTAATACCAACAAATAATAGCACGTGAGAAAAGAAATAAATTTGAAAAAATTACAGCGATTTGAAATCCGCGTATATAAATTTTCGATTGTGGACTGTTTTGTTGTGTTATACAAATGTTATAAACGTAATTTTCGTAATTATATCGCAATTATATCTTGATTTATCAAAATCGACATGTGACAAGGCTTATCTCCTACACAATGGACGTGTATAGTTAAACGGGTTGGAAAATACGAGTACATAGAAGCGCTCACAAAGACAGTTATTGAATGGTGTTCATACCAAATATGTGCAAATGTTGTCAGAGGTAAGAAGTTTTAATTAATTGAAATATTTTTAACCTACAACAATGAATAAAAGCAACTGATTTATTGACATATATTACCGTGTATTTATTTATAACGCTCATAAACTCGAAAGATGCTGTTGATTGTTTAAATATAACATAAGATAAAGTTTAAAAGATGTTTTTCATAACTTTTAGAGTAAAAACATGTTTAACGTACTTCTGATATTTCATAATATTTAACAAGAATAATTAAGAAAAGAAAATGGTATAAATTAAGGCCTAAACAAAGTCGTCTTCTTCTTCTTTAAGTGCCATCTCCGCGATGAAGGTTGGCAATCATCATGGCTATTCTGACCTTCGAGGCAGCTGCTCTGAACAATTACCTTGAGCTGCAACCAAACCACTCTCTCAGGTTCTTCAACCAGGAAACGCGTCTTCTTCCTACGCTTCTCCTACCCTCTATTTTCTCTTGAATTATAATTCTCAAGATGTTGAATCTTTCGCCTGTCATGTCCGAGATATTGCAATTTTCTTGCTTTTATTATATTTTCTATTTCCCTCTCTCTATCTATTCTCCTTAACACTTCTGCATTCGTGATTCTATCTACCCATGGAATCCTTAACAATCTTCTAAATGTCCACATTTCAAACGCGTTAAGTCGATTTATTGTATTTCGGTTTAATGTCCATAATTCAGCTCCATAGTACACTGTGTACATAGCATTTAATTAGCCTTATTCTGAGGCCAATGTCAGATCTTTGCTGCATAAAATTTTTTTCATTTTCAGGAAGTTTGAACGCGCTTTTTCAATTCTGACTCTTATCTCTGCAGTATAGATAGATAGATAGGTTTATTGACAATTTTTACATAGTAAACACTACATGTCATGTCACAATAAAAATAATTTACTATTGTATACTAAGAACTAAGAAACAATACAAGAACATATAATAAAACATATACAGTGAAAATTAGATATATAAAATTATAACAAATAAGAAAGAAACATTTCAGTAAGGCGTAATATAGTTTTCATTAAAAACGACCACACTAGGAGCTCAAACAAACAAATTCCTGTATACTATAGAAACAGTGTTCCAGCAGGAAGTGTTTTGCTAGTTTATAAAATTGTTTAGAATTCATTACCTTAATATCAATATTTTTGTTTAAGTTTAAAAAACAATTATACAGATTATAATCTATTGTATTAAGTTGTGTAACACACAATCTGGAATATGGTATAATGATATGACTTTTATTTCTTGTATTGTAATGATGTTGATCAGCATGTGATTTTACATCTTTTATATTATTATGAATAGTTAACAAAGTTTCAAATATATATATATATATATATATATATATATATATATTGAAGGTATAGGAAGAATGCCATACTTCTTAAATAAGGGTTTACAGCTGGCGCGATATTCTGCCGAGTCAATAATTCGGATTGCTGCTTTTTGAAAAGTGAAAACTTTATATGCATAGGACGAGTTTCCCCAAAGAAGTATGCAATATGTCAGGATACTATGAACCATTCCAAAATAAACTGACCTAAGAATATCTCGACTCACAGAAGTAGCCAATCTGCGCATAGCAAAAATCTGTGAGGCGAGCCCCCTACACAATCGTTCAATATGGTGCGACCAGTTCAACCTTGTATCCATAGTAACACCTAGTAACTTTACTGGTTCAGATGGTGTAACCCATCTATTAGAACTAAATACGATTTTCTGGGTTTTCTGCTCGTTTAACTTAAGTTTGTTACAGTTAAACCAGGATTAAGATTTTTCTAATATATCCTGACTGTAATCAGTTTTACCTCTACATAATAAGGTTGTGTCATCTGCAAAAAGAACACAGTTGGTGTTATCCAATGCACTTGGTAAATCATTTATATATATCAAGAATAGTAGAGGACCCAAAACTGATCCTTGTGGTACTCCTTTATCCTTATATCTTATTACTTTCTCGATTTGCTGGCCGCCTACCGTCAATATTTCATTTGTGTTGTTGTTCTTGCTAATTTTCATGAATTTGGTTTTTTTAATGTTAAGAGAGAGTCCGTATTCTCCACTATATCTTAATATTTTGTTCATCATTCTTTCTAAGTCTTCCAAGTTGTCAGCTATTATTACTTTATCGTCGGCATACCTAATGTAGTTAATTAAACTTCTGGTTACTGTAACGCCGACTGTCTCATTTACCAAAGCTTTTTGTATGATTTCTTCAAAATAAGCATTAAACAATAACGGCGACAGTATGCAACCTTGCCTGACCCCTCTCCTTATCTCCACTTCTTCTGACACTTCTCTTCCAATTTTCACATTTGATCGTTGGCTGTAGTATAAATGTGATACTAACGTTACATCCCTCACATCCAGATTCTTGTTTTTGAGTACCTACTTCTATAATCGGTCATGTTTTACTTTATCGAATGCCTTGTTGTAGTCTATAAAGCATACATAAAGATCTCGATTAACATCCAAACATCTTTGGGTCAGCACGTTAAAAGAAAATAGTGTCTCTCTTGTGCCCACCCCATTCCGAAATCCAAACTAGGAATCACTAATATCCATCTCCAGCTTAGCATGTATTCTATTATGGATGATTTTTAGCATTTTTTTAAGGTATGTGACATTAGACTGATCGTTTAATAATTTCTACATTCTCTGACATTTACTTTCTTTGGTAGACAAATAAAGGTTGTAAAATAATAAGGAATGGGAGCGTTATGTGAAGGTAAGGAAAACGCTGTCACCAAATGTAATACACAATAGATCCTCAAGAGATGCTAACCCTGCGAGCGGCTGCAAGGAATACTGGTCACACTATTCTGGAGGGCTGGCTCGTCTTCGTGGATTTACGAGAAGATAAGGGATTTTCGGGATAGGGGTAAGGACTCCTAGGTCTCAGGTCCTGTAAAGAGCAGAGGTTATGGGCTTACTTTTGAAGCCGGAGATATGCATACGCAGATTCTCGTGTTCTCCTAGTCTCTAGTGAGTCGGACGAAAGGAACATTAAAAAAACCAATTTAGAGTCTACAATATATTGAATTTACCCTGAAGTTACAAATACAATCGTTATCACGTTATTCTGCGCGTCGGAAGGCGAGGAGCAAGATAGTGAAAAGTTGACAGTTGTACTAATATAATTACTCAGGTTAGTATATAGAAATCTGTTACCTTATTTGGGCTTTCAACCACGACACATTTCGGTCCTCTGAAATTCGGTCAGTTGAGGGTCTCCTCCTGTGTTACGGACTTACGAGCTGCCACAATAACCGGACTACACGCGATACTATGCCGGGATGATAAGCGCTCCCCGGAGAATTACCGACTCCTTGTACTGGACGCTCCCGGAGGCAATTACTGCCTTGGGCAGGCACAGCTGCCCCGCTACTACGGACCGCTTCCGCCGTATTACTACCACTGACTTCTATTACTGACTGCCTGGCTACCGTCATTTTTTCTTGTTTTATTGTGCTCGTACTTTCAACGCCGGCTCTAGTACCAAGGTCGTGTTTTCGCTGAGTTGTAGTCTTAGACGTTATTACTCGTATTTATGTCACGGGTGTTGTTATTTTTTACAACAATAGTTTCTGTTTGACGTGCTTTTTCTACGTTTAAACAATTATCAAACAATGCAATAACTAGGTCAATTTCTTTGTGTGATTTAAAATGCAAACTTTACTGTAATAATTTTCCCTTATTAACTTTGGAATATATAATAATTATCTCGAATAATTATTATCTTTTCTATGCTACTTAGCCCTTTATTCCAACTCCCCACTCACTTGCTACGCTCACATTACAAGGTTGATGTTAGCATTTCACGTAGAATGATTCCTGTGGAATAGATTGTGTTCAGTAGTTGGACTAAAAACATATGTTTTTTTTTATTAACCAGTTTTAGCAATTCACTTGGTACTTTATCTGGACCAGCAGCTTTATTATTTTTCATGGACTTTACTGCATGCATAACCTCTGACTTTGTTTTTTTGGGTCCCTCGTCTTTACTCTGATTATATTCATATATATTTTCCTGTCTCTGGTCATGGATTAATTCCTCTATATATTCTTTCCATCTTCCTAGTTTTTGTTCCGTCTCCACTAAAATGTTTCCTTGTTTGTCCAATAGTATGCTTAAAGTATTTTGTTTTGCTACCACAGCTAATTCTTTAACTATCTTATGGAGATTGAAGATATCATATTTTTTTTGTAAGTCTTCTATTTCTTGGCATTTTCCAGCGAAATAAGTCTCTTTAGCTTCTCTTTTTTTCCTTCTTATTTGATTATGCAGCTGTTGATACTGAGTAATTTTAATACCCTTCTGCCTTCTTCTGTCCTCCATCATTTCCAAGATTTCTTCTGTTATCCAATCTCCTTTCTTGCATCTAGTTGTGGGTTTTATGCGACTAGGTTCGATAATTGCATTTTTAAAGAATTGCCACTGTTGTTCTACATCACCATAAATTAATTCCGGTGTGGATTCTAGGTTTGCATTAATTTCTTGTTTCAGTTTTTCTTTGACGTCTTCTGATTTTAATTTTTGTATGTTTAGTTCATCATTTTTGTAGACTTTTTTAATCTTTTTTAAATGAAGTTGGAATTTTGCTACAAGAGGATTGTGGTCCGACGCCACGTCTGCACCTGGGTACGCTTTCACCGATTGTATTGCGTTTCGGTATCTGTGATTTATTAAAATATAGTCAATTTGCTTTCTAACGATTTTATCGACCTTGTCAGCTGGCGATTTCCAAGTCTAAAGGCGTAGTTTAGGCAGTTTAAAGAAAGTATTCATTACAGCAAGATTATGTTCTAGGCAAAATTCTATAAGGCGTAAACAGACCCATAGAAAATACAAAAAACTCAAGTGTTTAAAGGGTGGGGGAGTGCCAGAAGGGTTTGGACCATTTTTTAATAAACAACTATGGAGGGAAAGTGGATAACAAAAATAAATATTGAAATCATACTGATTAATATCTCAGTATATATTTGCATAGTTTGTGTAC